TCTAGCTCAGTACTTCATATAGTATGGAACGGATCCTTGTCGGCTGTATTCAACTCGGTACATACTATACTATGTCATGGATCTTTGTCGGCTGTATCTAACCCAGTACATCATATAGTATGGCATGGATCCTTGTCGGTTTTATTCAACCCAGTACATCATCTAGAGTGGCATGGATCCTTGTCGGCTGTATCTAACTCAGTACATCATATAGAGTGGCATGGATCCTTGTCGGCTGTATCTTACCCAGTACAACATATAGAGTGGCATCGATCCTTGTCGGCTGTATCTAACCCAGTGCCTCATATATTCTGGCATGTATCCTTGTCGGCTGTATCTGACCCAGTACATCATATACTCTGGCATGGTTTCTTGTCGGCTGTATCTAACCTAGTAAATCATATACTGTGGCATGGATCCTTTTCGGCTGTATCTAACCCAGTTTTTCATATAGAGTGGCATGGATCCTTGTCCAGTAAATCATATACTCTAGCATGGATCCTTGTCGGTTATATCTAACTCAGTATTTCAGATAGAGTGGCATGGATCCTTGTCCAGTAAATCATATACTCTGGCATGGATCCTTGTCGGCTGTATCTAACCTTTTATTTCATATACTGTGGCATGAATCCTTGTCGGCTATATCTAACCCAGTATTTTATATAGAGTGGCACGGATCATTGTCGGCTGTATCTAACTTAGTACATCATATACTCTGGCATGGATCCTTATCGGCTGTTTCTAACTCAGTACATCATATAGTATGGCATGGATCCTTGTCGGATGTATCTTACTCAGTAATTATATAGTGTGGCATGGATCCTCGACGGCTCTATCTAAACTAGCACATGGTATACTCTGGCATGAACCCTTGTCGCCTGTATCTAACCAAGAACATCAGAAAGGTGGCAAAAGATATCAAAGGGACATTCAAACTCATAAGATGAAAATAAACTGACAATCTAATGCAAAAATAGAAGACCAAAAGGAAAAAAGCAGTATACAAAACACAACATAGAAAACTAAAGACAGAGCAACACGAATCCCACTAACAACCGGGGGTGATCTAAGGTAAAGGATGATGTTTACGAGTAACGTAAAGACGTTTTCCTTCGAACATTTCGCTGTACAAGTTTACATTATTGTTTATGACCAGCTGAAACCCGCCTCAGAAAGCGGGATTTTATTGCTGCGTTTAAGACCCCCGGCAGGCGTTGGGCTGTTTTCTGCTCTTTTGTCGGGTTGTTGTCCTTTTGACACATTCCCCGTTTCCATTCTCTATTCTGATACTATATTGGCTTAACATCACTATTTACTCAGTACATCATATACTCTGGCATGGATCCTTGTCCGCTGTTTCTAACTAAGTACATCATATAGTATGGCATAGATCCTTGTCGGCTGTATCTAACTCAGCACATTATACTGGATCTATGCCACAGTATATGATGTGGCATGGATCTTTGTCGGCTGTATCTAACCCAGTACATCATATACTCTGACATGGATGCTTGTCGGCTGTATCTAACCCAGTAAATCATATACTGTGGCATGGATCATTGTCAGCTGTATCTATTCCAGTAAATCATATAGTATGGCATGGATCCTTTTCATGCTGTATCTTACCCAGTGCATCATACATTCTGGCATGTATCTTTGTCGGCTGTATCTAAACCAGTACATCATATAGTATGGCATGGATCCTTGTCGGCTGTATATAACCCAGTACATCATATACTGTGGCATGGATCCTTGTCGCTTTTATCTAACTCAGTACAACATATAGAGTGGCATCGATTCTTGTCGGCTGTATCTAACCTTGTATATCCTATACTCTGGCATGGATCCTTGTCGGCTGTATCTTACCTAGTGCAGTATATACTCAGGCATATATCTTTGTCGGCTGTATCTAACCCAGTACATCCTATAGTTTGGCATGGATCCTTGTCGGTTGTATCTTACCCAGTGCATAATATACTCAGGCATGTATCCTTGTCGGCTGTATCTAACCCAGTACTTCATATAGTATGGCATGGATCCTTGTCGGCTGTATCTAACCTAGTTAATCATATACTGTGGCATGGATCCTTGTCGGTTGTATCTAACCCAGTATTTCATATAGAGTGGTATGGATCCTTGTCATGCTGTATCTTACCCAGTGTTTTATACATTCTGTGATGTATCTTTGTCGGCTGCATCTAAACCAGTACATCATATAGTATGGCATGGATCCTTGTCGGCTGTATCTAACCTAGTATTTCATATATTGTGGCATGGATCCTTGTCAGCTGTATCTTACCTAGTGCATCATATAGTGTGTCATGGATCCTTGTCAGCTGTATCTATTCCAGTAAATCATATAGTATGGCATGGATCCTTGTCGGCTGTATCTAACCCAGTACATCATATACTGTGGCATGGATCCATGTCGGCTGTATCTTACCCAGTGCATCATATAGTGTTGCATAGATCCTTGTCGGCTGTATCTAACCCAGTACATCATATACTCTGACATGGATCCTTGTTAGATGTATCTTACCCAGTAAATCATATACTTTGGCATGGATCCTTTTCAGCTGTATTAAAGCTAGTAAATCATATACTGTGGCTGTATCTAACCCAGTATTTCATATAGAGTGGTATGGATCCTTGTCATCTGTATCTTACCCAGTGCATTATACATTCTGGCATGTATCTGTGTCGGCTGTATCTAAACCAGTACATCATATAGTATGGCATGGATCCTTGTCAGCTTTATCTAACCCAATACATCATATAGCATAGCATGGATCCATGTCGGCTGATTCTAACCCAGTACAACATATACTGTGTCATGGATCCTTGTCGGCTGTTTCAAACTCAGTACATCATATAGTATGGCATGGATCCTTGTCGGCTGTATCTAACTCAGTACATCATATAGTAATGCATGAATCCTTGTCGGCTGTATCTTACTCAGTACATTATACTGGATCTATGCCACAGTATATGATGTGGCATGGATCTTTGTCGGTTGTATCTAACCCAGTACATCATATACTCTGAGATGGATCCTTGTCCGCTGTATCTAGCCCAGTAAATCATATACTGTGGCATGGATCGTTGTCAGCTGTATCTATTCCAGTAAATCATATACTATGACATTAATCCTTGTCAGCTGTATCTAACCCAGTAAATTATATACTTTAGCATAAATCCTTGTTAGCTGTATTTAACCTAGTAAATCATATACTGTGGCATGGATCCTTGTCGGCTGTATCTAACCCAGTATTTCATATAGAGTGGTATGAATCCTTGTCAGCTGTATCTTACCCAGTGCATCATATAATCTGGCATGTATCTTTGTCGGATGTATCTAAATCACCACATCATATAGTATGTCATGGATTCTTGTCAGCTTTATCTAACCCAGTACATCATATAGCATAGCATGGATCCTTGTCGGCTGTATCAAACCCAGTACATCATATACTGTGTCATGGATCCTTGTCGGCTGTTTCAAACCCAGTAAATCATATACTGTGGCATGGATCCTTGTCTGCTGTATTTCACCTAGTAAATCATATAGAGTGGTATGGATCCTTGTAGGCTGTATCTAACCCAGTACATCATATAGAGTGGCATGGATCCTTGTCGGCAGTATCTAACCCAGTACATCCTATACTCTGGCATGGATCCTTGTCGTCTGTATCTTACCCTGTGCATAATATACTCAGGCATGTATCCTTATCGGCTTAATCTAACCCAGTACATCATTTAGTATGGCATGGATCCTTGTCGGCTGTATCTAACCCAGTATTTTATATAGAGTGGCATGAATCCTTGTCCAGTAAATCATATACTCTGGCATTAATCCTTGTCGGCTGTATCTAACTCAGTACATCATATAGTATGGCATGTATCTTTGTCGGCTGTATACAACCCAGTAAATCATATATTGTGGCATGGATCCTTGTCGGCTGCATCTAACTCAGTACATCATATACTCTGGCATGGATCCTTGTCGGCTGTTTCTTACTCGGTACATCATATAGTATGGCATGGAATCTTGTCGGCTGTATCTAACAGTACATCATATAGTGTGACATGGATCCTTGAAGGCTGTATCTAACCTAACACATGGTATACTCTGGCATGGATCCTTGTCGCGTGTATCGAACCCAGTACATCTGAAAGGTGGCAAAAGATATCAAAGGGACATTCAAACTCATAAGTTGAAAATAAACTGACAATCCAATGCAAAAATAGACAACCAAAAGAAAAAAAGTAGTAAACAAAACACAACATAGAAAACTAACGACAGAGCAACACGAACCCCACTAACAACCGGGGGTGATCTAAGGTAAAGGATGATAATATTTACAATACTATTTACGAGTTACGTAAAGACGTTTTCCGTTGAACCCATTTCGCTGTACTAGTTTACATTATTGTTTTCTGCTCTTTTGTTGGGTTGTTGTCCTTTTGACACATTTCCTGTTTCCATTCTCTATTCTGATACTATATTGGCTTAACACCACTATTTACATATTCCTCGTCATACATTCCCAATGCTATTTGTGCAATACTGATATATGTTCAATTACCACTTGTAACATTTTTTACTCAAATATAAAAAGAAGGAAATATGTTATGATTCAAATCTTACACCTACGACCTTCAATATTGAACAAAACCAATACCATATAGTAAGATGATAACAGGGAAATATCAGCTATCATATACGTTAGAGGTGCTCTTTGAATTTGATCAATACAACTTTAGTGGACAACTCACTGTTGGCTATGACTATATGTCAAATGAACAGCGTTTTTCTCAGTATCTCACTTTAGAATACATTGTAAGTGAAGATTTTAAAATTTAAAATATGTTTGAAAATAGACTTAGAATAATATATGAAAAGTGTAGTAATTACAGGATGTGTTTCGTGTAGATAATAACATTTTATCAAATTAACTTCCAATTTGCCAATTACCCCTTGTTCTTAAATATTGTTCTAATTTGTCGTTCTCCAGCTTATAAATAGCAGTCATAAAGGACATTTTTATATTCAGCATTGATCCAGTGCATTGATTCAGTGCAATTACAAAAATTATGTTGGCTTTGGTGATTTTAATTGTTAGCTTTGCTTATGGTAAGTAAATCTTTTTCTGTATAGTCTTTTTTCTTCTTGTTTCAATATCATAGTTACCGAAGACTTTATTGAATAATCTGTTTTGCAATACACGTCATATCATGTTTTTTTTATTATTAGTCTAACTAGTTTCTCAATTAATGAACATAGGCATAGTATCTATCAAATGTTAAGGATGTTCGCTCCTCTGTTTCAAAATAACAAGCTTTTTCAAAGACTGTTATAATTGATAGTATATAAATAACGGAACTTAAAAAAGGGAAAAAAATAATGACAGGTCTGTGTCCTTGGTTTTGAGACATAATCAATTGAAATTGGGAAATGATTCTCTGTAGATTTTTCATGCACTAAACATTGGCACCTTTTTTCTTTTAAAAACTGAGAAAAAATAACAAGGATTTTAGAAGATTTTCAAAAGTGTTTTTTTGTACTATTTGTAATAAAATAATGAAACGAAATGTAGGGGTCAGCAGGCAAAATATTCATTATTTTTTTTATCTTGAGGTAATCTATAATTTAACATATAATGATACATCGATATATCGAACTCATTAAACATATATTATATAATGATATATCGAATCCATAGATCATTTATCATACGAAGAAACCTCGAGCCCATTCGTCTTCTGGCATCATTATCAAAATATGATACCTCAAGCTAATTCATCAACTAGAATGCAATGATACCTCGAGGTCATTTATCATTGATCACACAATGATATCTGGAGCCCAGTGATCTTTTTAAAACATGATACCTCGAGCTCATTATTTATTGATTAAACGATAATACCTCAAATCCATTTAATCATTTACAATTATATTATGAGCTCCACGATCATTTATCATACAATGATACCTCCAGCTTATTGTTTATTAATCAAACTTTGTTACCTGCATCGCGTTAATCATTTATCATACAAAGATACCTCTAGATCGTTTTCATTTATCATACAATGAAACCTCCATCGCGTTGATTAACTATCATACAATGATACCTGTAGCTCTTTGATAATTTACAATACAATGATACCTTCAGCTCTTTGATAATTTAACATACCATTATAATTCCAGCTCTTTTATCATTTATCATACAATGATACCTCAAGCTCATAAATAATCTTTTATACAATGATTCCTCCTTGATCATTTATCAAAATAGGTCAAATTGATGTGAAACAGATTTGATATCCAAATCTAACTTCTGTTCAGCTTTTACATTCTGGAAATTACATGAAGATATGACTTTAGAATAAATTAAAAACAATACATACTTTAATTGCATAGTTGAGTTAATATGATAATCCATGTAAGGAACGGGATCACAGTGCCACTCAATCATAAAAATGAAAACAAAACTTTATAAATTCAATCAATGAAATGATATGATGCTGCATCAATATATTATTAGTCGCATTCGTTTGATGTGCATACATCTTTTGCCAATTATAAACACAATTGTAGTGTTGTGCCGCAAATGTGTACAATCGACAAGGAGTGATTATACTTCATCGAGTTTTCGTCTTTAAACGAACAAGTGATCGACAAAATACATAAAGGAAATTAAAAAAAATATATCTCACAAAACCATCAACAGGAATAGTATCTGATTAAAGGTGATCATATAGTTTCAGGCACATCTTATGCTGTTCCAAAAGAATGCAGTCCAGTCTTTGGTTGTTCTTGGTTGTTTCTAGAAGTTGAAAACTTCTTTTATGATGGCGATGCTTTAAAGGATGTAAGTGCAGAAACTATTGAAGACCTATGTTGGTATGTATATTTTTCTTTCTACCTATGCACATCTGGTGAACCATTGGGATAAAATATGATATTAAGACTTGCTTGCATGTAAATAATATACAATATCTTGAACTTTAATCTGGAACGTTGCACTATGAAAAAGAAATCATTAAAATCCAGAACTGAATTTTGATATTGTAGGACCTCATCATATAAAAAAGTAATTAACGATACAATGCTGATATTTGGAATTAAAGAGACTCTGCAAAATGTCATTACTATTTTCAGTATACAGATCACATTAACTTCTGATAAGAGTGTGTTGTTTTGATACAAGTATGGTAATAGACAACTATAAGTATTGTTTAATCATTAATATGGTCAGGACAAGGTACGATAAGGGGCTTTTTTGGCCCCCTCTCCAAATATGTTAATATTCATATTATTGATAGCCTTTGAATAGAAAACTTGAAAAAATAATGATTTTTTTATGTTCCGGTGAATGGATGGTTGCCTAGCAATGGATTCATAAAATAGCTATTTTATCACTTGTAAATGGCTTAAACTGTGCAAATTAACACAATTCTTTACTGAATTGATTGTGTAAGTATAACTTGAAGTTAAGAATGAGAAGTCACTTTAGTTTCAGTTTACTAAATGCTTAGCAACAACCTAGCAACGACCGAGCAACACAATTATTGCATAGCAACGGTTCATATTTTTTTTTATTTTTGCCATCTGAGGTATACATACAGCAAATGTTTAAAGATTAAGCGTCCATAAATGGTATTTCAGTCTTGCATGATATTGTCGTCATCATTTTTCTTTTATGAAGTTGGTATTGAGCTTAGCAACACAAATGTTGACGAGCAACAACTAAATATAATTAAATTAAAGACAACTACAAAAATGAATGTTTTTGTTATTTTATTGTACAGGTAAGAATAAAAGCAAATAAGAGTGGTGTATGATGATAATAACTATCAGTGAGAAATGAAAGCAATTCATATTTTAGAGGGTTTATGTTTCTCAACTGCTTAGCAACAAAAATAGTGCTTAGCAACGGATGAATAAGGGGCTTTTCATTATCTCAATTTTGAATTTCGCAATTTAAAAAATATAAAATTCGTCATATTTTGATTACTGCTTTCTTTTTTAAAAATTAAAGTTAATCAAGAATAACAACAGATATGGTGCTTAGCAACTGCCAACATGTTTAAATTAAAGACAATTACAAATAACATTACTCGAAAAAATAGACTGCATGAATACAAATCCGATTGTCCGATCTGTGTAAAAAAAAACAATAGTAGTAAGCTTAGTAGTTATCAAAAACTTAGCAACAGTACGTGATAAAGAGCGGTTCAAATGGGCTTTCTTTTATTTGAAATAAGAATTTTGATTAAAAGTAGTCATTTTGTTTACTTCCGATTTCATTCATACAATGGTACATACAAGCATTGGTATTAATCTATGTCATGAACATTCTCATACATTCACTTTCACATAAACTTTTAGTATTCCATCCAATAGATATAGTGATGTTATTTCTTTATATTAACAACTTCAATAATTTATTATGTTGCAAAGGAAAGCTTTTAAATGGCACTCATGGTGGTACAATTTACACAATGAATAAATTAGCAGATGTAAAAAAACACAAAGCGTTTAAAAATACTATTGAACATTCCATAATTTATTTTGTGATACACTAGTTTTCTGTTTGTGTTAGAAATAAGTGTTACTTGTAACATGTAATTGTTTATAAAGTGTTATCCTTCATTGTGAATGTCAGTTTACATATGAATCAGTAACTGCAAGTAAATTTTTAAAAATACTGAACGTTCAACTAATCTAAATATTCAGGGAAATTCATACTTATTCATTATGTATAATGTAGTTAGATAAGATATTCAAATAAACAGTCGACATATGGAAAGAAAATCAATAAATGTGTTATAACTTAATAGAACAAACAACAACCGAGTCACTCTTCCTCAATAACATTGTCACTGTCAGAACCAGAATCTGTTTCCAAAGGAATATCTTAAGAATTTAGGATATGTTCTGTATATCTACAAGTGCTAATTGTTTCTGATTGCCAACGACTATGTCCAAGGTACCATATCGTGGATGCGATGTGGGCACAGCATCCGACTACACGGGCACCAACTTTACACGTACAGACCCAACCTGTAATATCATCATTGCTGTACTCGATCCATAGACTGTAGGCTTTCGATGACGAGTGTCTTGATGATAACTTAACACGGAGTAAGTTTGGTCGGTCCTTGCATATTTGAAGTGTGTAATTGTCATCGTTTATGTGACTCTCCGTATACCGTGGAGCAAGCTTCAGCTGATACACACCCATGGTAATGTCTCTGATTTCTTGTAAGGTCAACTTTGGAAAGTCTAACACGTTATCAGTACCATTTACTACGGTATACACCGCTTTCTTTCGAATAAGATTGTTATCTTCCACAATTTGTTGAACATGATTGAATTGTCTTGATCTTTGAAGCATTTGTTCACCAATCTCGTCATTTCCAAAATCGTTTATCAAGGGAGCACGAAAACAATTGATGAGGGCACTCACTATCCTTACAAAATCTCCAATGTGTTACATAGTGGTTAGAAAAAACTTTATCGAAAAAACGCCATTGCTTGATACGGCCATTCGCGCTTTCTACCACCCACCTTACTTAAGTTATCAGCCGAGATGCGTTTGCCTCCTCTGTGGGGTGTTGTTTCATTCCTTTCTTTATATAAAACGGCATCTCTACCTTTAAATTCATATTTTCTAAGAATTTTTAAGCGTCTCTGAATCCTCTATCCACCACAAGAACATCATTCTCCTGAACCCAATTTTTAATGTCCTCAGCATTTGTCTCAAATAAATGTTTTGTAATTGAAGTATCATTATTATGATAATCTGCAAAGTAAGGTCCCATGACATTCAAGATGTAGCCATCTGCTCCAACAATTAACATAGGTTTGACTAAAGGTCTTCCTTTATGTATGCTATATGTCATCTTTTGAAATTGGTGAAACGAGCTTTTTTGTATATACAAGTAAGTACCATCTAGAACAAGGATAGCTGTATCATCGTTGTCATTTGCAAATAAGGTTTTGGCTGTTGGTGTTGTATGCTTTAGAGAAAATTCTTGATGAGTAATGTGATTAAAGTCTAAAAAAGAGGGCACGAAGCTCTGCATCAATGATTCTCTTGTTGAATGAACAGCTCGTCGTATTTGGTGAGATTTTAAGGAGAAGAGAGTGCTTAAAATAGAATTTGATAAGCCTGTGCGAAGCTTTACGAGAAGGATAGCAAGACAGGTACTTACTGAACGCACCTCAGAGTTTCGTAGGTCCTTTACGTGCAAAGCGACTGCATCAAATTGTTCTCGTGTTAGGCCAGTCAAATTAACGTAGTCATCACCTGAAAGTGAGGACGAAATATCAAAATTAAGCTTGCCAGTATCTTTTATGACTGCCCAAGTTCTTTCCAACAGCTCTGATATGTACGTACGGTTAAAATATGATGATGATGAGGATTGTTGTACAGTTTTCAATGCATTTTGTTTAAAATATTTGCCAATAAGATGATCTGGACAACATCTGCTATTTGTCGATATAAAAATCCCCTTATCAATAAGCGCCTGAGTTGCTGCTTCTTTTTGAACAACCACTAGTCGATGTCTCCTAGTGTTTTCCTTCTTGCAGATAATACACCTCCGATGAGATTTCGATGTAGATGAAATGCTGAGTTGTATTGTTTTTGGGCTAATAACTTCAGCAGGACCCGGCAATCCCTGTGCACAATTTTCGTCATCATCTGTTGCAACATCTACTAATGTTTGTGATTGGAGTTCTCTTCGGATTCGCGATCGACACTTAGAGCATATTATATCATGCTCATATACATTCCTTTTGATCAAAGACTCAATGTAGTTTTGTAGTTGTGTGTTAATGACTGGGCGTCTATTATTTTCTTTAACATGTGTTTTTAGGCATATGACACAACTATGGCTTCGTATTCTTAGCATCTCATTTTTTTTGGCCGATCCAACCATTTCATTGCAATCTAAAAAACATTAATGAGAAAAAAATATAGTTTTCTTTATTGGTTTGATACATGCTTTATTTGTTTGTGTTGCCATGGGTATTATGTTATACTATGTTCCTCTATGGTGGTCATCTTTAATTAGTGATCCGCATCAAAAACTCAAAATTAGAACAGGAACATGTTTCAATCTACCAAGCGGTTTCTTAGAAGATGTACGAAAATTCACCCAATCAGAACGCATTTTTGGCCATGGCAGCCAAGTTGAATTTCCGATAAGCACCCAAAACTCAAAACTATTAAGTAAAAACTACTGAACTATCCTGTAATTTTTTTTCTTTAATTTGCCAAACGTTTTCGAGAAAGATTAAAATGTAAAAAAAAATTACAGAAACCACCGCCACCGAATTTGACAGACGCAAAGTGATTACTGGCAAAACCCTCTTATGACCCTTTGGTCAAGGTGAGCTTAATATGAACATCACTTATGCATTTACAGTTTTTATACATGTATGAAAATAATGTAATGACAGAAGTTTTTATATGGATTACCAGCATACATGGAACGACAGTATCGCAGAAGGGTTTAGTCCATTCTACTTAGAAGTCATTTGCGTGCAGACCTTTTTCTATTACTTTATTTATTGGTTACTGCCTTTTCAATTTTGTGAGACCGGTAATCATCTACATGAATCATCAATATTAAAAATTCGATAAAAGCTTCATCTGGAAAATACGTATCTGAACCAATGCGATAGTTTTCTACATGTTTTATATATAATGCATCCGTATGTCAGTTATGAGATCCAACAATATAAGTCTGATTTCAAAGGACACAGACAAAACATATAGAGATAAAACAACGGGAGCAATTAGATGATTTTATTTTAATTAGATTGTAATCACTTCTCCTTAGGGTTTGCCTCCCTCATCACTTCTTCCAGTTTTCGACTCCCTCAATCTGATTGAAAATAGATTAATGATTTCATTTCCAATGAGGTACAATTAAAGTTTGATTGGTCTGGATTTTAATCAGATTTTACCTCCCTCATTCGCATGATCTCACCTTATCCCCGTCAAGCCCCTCTCCAACATGTAATGTTGATATAACTTTTAAGAAAATAATAAAAGTTATAGAATGGAACAAATTATACTTCTTACTTTGCTGCGGGTATTTTTATACTTGATTGACTTAGCAATTACCCAATTATTATAACCTTGTTCACATGCAAAAGAAAAATAATGTTCGTGTGAGATTTGCTGAAGTTAATAATTTACACGATAATCGAACATTCCACCGCTACGCCACAAAATCAACTTATTTTGCATTGTTAAACCATGTAGTAATAAGAAACTAAGTAAACAATTCGCTAAAAGAAAGAAAAAGCCGTTATTCAACATACCAAATATATATACACTGTTACTTAGGTACAGATTAAAAAAAGATTGTTTTCAAAGAAAAAAAGCAAATTAAGAAATATATAATAATGCAAATAAAGAAAAATAAAACAAAATGAAAATAAAAAATTTAGATTCGAACTCTAATTAGTTCGCATGGATTTCCAGCACGCATCCACTGCACCACGGAATCGCCACAATTACGTTGGGTAAATATTTAATATATAAATCTTCCTTGCAAAAGTCACAAAAAAGATTGTATAATTATATGTTCAAAACGTTTTACTCGCATGATTTTAAGGGTTAATTACTGTAAAAGTTTTCATTTTTTTACCAATGTCGTGCCGTGAAATCCTCTCAAAATTCATACTTCGTTTTTCTTTTCGTCGCATATATCATCTGCCGTTTTTTATCATTATGTTATATTATGTTAGAGGTGATTTTTTAAATAGTCTGTCACTACATTTTTATTTTTTAACTCAGTATGATCATCCGAATTCGATTTATTCCTATCGTCTATGATGGAAACTGCATAGCCTGTTCAGGAAAATAGGGGTCGGTAACGACGGTACTGCATTTGGAAGCCGCCATTACTACTTGACTTTAATACACGACTGGCCGAATGCCATTGCGAAAAGATATAAATTAGGGAAATTAAGTGTGAATAAAAACAACAAACTATTACCTGTATTGACGTAAAATTATTCCCAGCTCATGGTTTCTAGCAATTTTCTAATAGTCTGTTCTTCATGTTGAAAATAATCACGGAACGTTTTCCGTCTCTTTCCGTTATTATTCAGATATTTTAATTATTATTCACTTTGGAGGTGTTCCGTACAACGAATTTTTAGTTTTTTAAGTGCCTGCGCCAACGTGACCCAGGAATTTTTTTATTCCAATGTCATTATCACTGTTTTTGCTGTCTAAATCGCCATAATTTTCTCCGGGTCACGTAGGCGCACGCTATAAAATTTAAGAAACACAGGCCTAAAATCGTAATTTTTTCTACTTTTGGCGTTTTTTATGCCCTTTTACCCCCCTCAACTCACCCTGTTGCTGAAATTGATTGTTTTGAAGATCATCCAAACAAACTTTAAACATCAGGGAATATTTCAACATGATAAGTAGCTTTCCAAAACAAAATTTGAAAAATGAGAAAATAGGGGGGCCAAAACAGGGGCTTATCGTACCTTGTCCTTTATTGTTTATGAACTTTGAATATTTCGAAATACTAAGGATTTTATACCCCAGGAATAGATTAGCTTGGCTGTACTTGCCAAAACTTTTAGGATATTTTGCACATCAATAATTTTCAACTTCGTTCTATGTTTGGCCTTTTCAACTTTTTTTAATCGAGCGTCACTGATGAGTCTTTTTGAGACGAAACGTCCGTTTGGGGTACAAAATTTCAATCCTGTTATCTATGATGCGTTTACTTGTTATGCCCCACCAACGATAGTATGAGATTCGTTATGTTTTCTGGCCTCTGTCCGGTCTTCCGTGTGCCCAGTAGCATGTTCAGGTTTTTGGTTACAGTAGTACAGTCGACTCTCGTTATCTCGAAGTCAGCCGGACCAGAGAAATATTTCGAGATACACGTAGTTCGACTCAAACGAAAACCGGAAGTTTGACAGAACAAGGGACACAACTCTTGCTTAGCTTGGTAAAGCTAAAATAAATCCGAGTGAATAAGGGAAGGGGATCGATATTCTGGTATCAGATCGATGTATTTGTATGTCATGGTCTTTCATTATTATAATAACATTATTTTTACTTATTCAATTGTTTCAGTTACAATTTTTTTCCTCTGGCTTTTATCCGAGAGAGTAATTTCCAATCGATAGTTTCGTTATTCAGGTCGTTTATAGTTGACAAAATTGTTTATTCTCGGATACAAAAAATTTTAGAAAATTTAGATTTCTCTTCATTTTGTTTTATCTCACTCTTTCTTTTCAAAAGAAAATACAACAAGATTAAAGACGCCGATTGAGTAGTTTTTAGGTGATCATCAACGGAAGTCATAATCCTTACTTTATACACACCCAAGCTCATTAGTGTAAATCACAATTAATTGTTATGTATATGTAAGAGAATGATAATCCCTTACTTCATGAATAAGTACGAGCGTTAGCGAGTACTTATCATGAAGTAAGGGATTATCATTCTCTTACAAACTTAGAATACTGTAAAGTGCTCAAGGCTCAAATGATCTATTCAAGAATTAGTTTCATTGTCAGTGCAATGTTTATAATTGATGCATGACTTCCTTTTTCAGCATGTCATTTATGGATTAGTTTTAGTGATGTGAGGACTTTCTTATCATTCAGGAAATTTTTTTTTTATAATGCGTTATAGATATTAGGTGACACAACAGTAGAAAGAAAAGGTAGGAATTGTATGTTTCCTGATTGTGAGTATGAATGTAAGTCATGTAACATTTTAGTGAAGAATTATCCTTTTTTTATTTACAGTTTAAATCAATTAATACATTTGAGTTACAACTAAATTTTATTTCACAGCCAATAATTTGGTCCGGCTTTTTACATCAAATACTGTTTCATTATGTCAGGGAAATGTTCAAAAATAATGCCCTTAAAAGTTTTTAATATGTTCAAAATTAAATTCCTGGTTTTTTTTTATCGGAATACATGTATTGGAAATAACTATTCTCCCCAACCGCTGATCAAGTAATCAAAGTTTTGGAAAGCTAAAGATTTAGATCATTTTTTTCTGAAAGATTTTTTTCTTTTTTTTTTTGCATTGATTTGGTATTGTTTAATTTTATAGTAATTTGAAGTTAATAATATTTTCATAATAACATTGACGGTACCAATTTTACTGCACCAGTAAACTTCAACTTATTTTGAGATTTTTGTTTGTTTCACAATTCAACTTTTAGTCAGTTTCAATCACTGTGTGATATAAAATCCTTTCAATCTGATAAATGTGCTTTGGGGCAGTTGTAACTCATTTATAGAAACTCTTTGTTTTGAACTGTAAATAGACCCAAATAATAGGATAATCCCTTACTAAGAACATGATTTACATTCATTCTTCACAATTAAGAGGCATCCAATCCTGCAATTTCATTGCTCGAGAGTACTTTGCTATATTCTAAGTAAACATTTTAAATACTTTTTCATGAACATTAACAATGCATCACTAATTATTTATAAAAATTCTATTAAAGATAATCTTAGGTAAACACTCGTGGAAATAGCATGTCATAAATCAATACAGTGGTCAGTGACTGGAAATTTAATTACACGTGTATTGTCAGATTAACTCTTCAATCCATTTAAATGCCGGAGGTCATGTTTTGACATATGTGTATTAGTTCGAGATAAATAATGAATTTTGAATGCTTTTGTTAACCTTGGGATCGTAAATTTAGTTCGACTAAACCGAAATTTCGACTCATCCAATTTCGACTCATCAGGAGTCGAATTACATACATTTATATGGAACAAAGTTCGGGACCACGTGAAAACTTCGACTCATCCGAAATCTCGAGTCAACCGAGTTCGAGACAACGAGAGTTAACTGTACTTTATACTAACGAGTAGTTGTGGTCACATCAATATGACTTTTATTACACATGTTCACTGTGATGTGATTTTTTAATATAAGTCAAATTTGGTTTTGAACTTGATATCGCAGTGTGCTTTACATGTTTGAACATGTGAACACACTATTTGATAGTACTAGCCAGACATGATGTACTAGGGGGTGCACATATTCCGGTTTATTTTATTTTTTTTCTTCATGTTTTAACGTTGATATTCCCTTATTGTATTGCAGGCATTTTATGAGTAAAGCCCTTTGTAAAGAGGCAAAGAAGTGTAAAGCGATGACTTTCGCTACTGATATGATGAAAGAAATGACAAGAGCCGTTTGTGTTGAGTATAAAAATGGTGAGTTTATCATTTCTGTTCAGATGACTCCTTATAGGAGGGTTTGCCCTTAAATGTCGATTTTTATCAATTGGTTAAATGTTGCTATTATGATTTAAACATTTTATTTATTTATTTCGTCAAAATCGCTTTTCTGGATTTTGCTTCATCGGGTACTCGAATCCAAACTCTTGAAAACTAGAATATATATTGAGAGAAACATTAAAATATGAAAACAATAATAAGCCAAGATCAACAAATATGTCTTCCAAGCAAAAATCATTAGACAATTTCTTATTGGGGTTGTTACCCTTTAATGACATCCAATTTTAACCGTTTATTGCGTTTTGACTATAATCTTGTAAATTATAATAATTAAAAAGCAACTTTATGAAAACTATGAACACCTAGACAAGGTCTACAATGAAGTCAAAAAACCGAAATCGTCCGTTTTCGCCTTATATTAGTCACCAGCCTTTAAGAAAACATTTCTCATTTTTAGTCTTTTTGACATTATTAAAATATAATATGTAGAGAGCAACTGTGAACATCAAAATCATTAATCAGCTTGCCAAAATCAACAAATGAATCAATCTTTAGTCGACTCCTTATCGCAGTTATTGTCTTTAAAAAACAATGTAATCCTTTCTTCGTATTTGTTTATTATCTTGAGAACTATATTGACGGAGAGACACTGTTAATAGCTTACATGATCCCTAAAACAAGATCAGGTCAAAATGAAAAAAAGTATAGCTTTATAGGGATAACTGATCCTAAATGACATTTTTTACCAATTTCCGCGATCTTTTGATATTATCTTAAAAACCTGAAACTATAATAGGTAGAGAGAAACTTCAAAGAGCAAAAGTGATCTGCATGAAAAGATAAAAAAAAAAAAGAATCGTCTTGACGAAATTGACAGTTGACTCCTATAAGGAGTCATTGCTTTCAGAATTTTACTGTTGCTTCTACCATTTTTCAGACAATGGCCCCTTTCATCAATAAGGGGCTTTTTCATTGAAAAGGACTCTTACGGCAAACATTTATTTCTTTCAACAAGTTCTTTTTTAAGCCCTGAATAAACATTTCCTGTGATACTTATATAATTATTCTTCACAAATTTCTACTTCGGTGTTAGGTGAGCTATGTAGGTTCGAGAAACATTAATTGTGAATACTTTTATATCAGTGCTTTGTGTCTAATGTTTTAATTTTAGTCGTTAATGTGCCTCGTGTGAACCGATAATTTGAGTTAAGCCAACTGCAACTGATTCTTACATGTTGCTCTAATCTTGTGCTGTCACACCACTGTTACAAGTTACGGGAGGGTTGAGTGTTCACTAGCATGGTAAGCCTTCCACATTCATTATGTGACTGTCCGAAGTCAGGAACCAGTTGTTCAGTGGTTGTCAATTGTCCATGTCTCTCATATTTTGTTTTTCGTAAATTGTTTTGTTACAAATTAGGCCGTATCTCGTTTGAATTGTTTCCAATTTTTCATGTCGGGGTCTTTGATATCCGACTTTCCAGTATGTCTTTTTCTCATTGTTGAATGCCGTATGCATTGTGGCCTATAATTAATTATATTCTACTCATTTGAATTCTCAGATCTGTATTTTGTGTCTTTTGTGTTTTATTTTTTTGTTTTTTTTTGTTGGTTCTTTGCATTGATCTGATGCCTCTTCAATTGATTTTTTATAGTTTGTTCTTTGTTCTTATGTTGTACTGTAACACCACTATCAACGATTAGCGGAAGGGTTTTGACGCCAGCAAATATGTCTAATCCCACCACATTCAGTGGTTGTCTGTGTTTCTATATATCATACTGCTTACTATGCAGTTTTGCTCATCGTTGAAAGCTGTACGGTGACAAATAGTTGCTAACTTTTTCGTCATTAGGTTGATGGTCTTATTGGCAATCAAACCACATCTTCCCATCTTTATATAACAATATTATCATTCTGAAAATCCATGAAATATTTTCTGGACATTAAGCATCCATCAATAAATCCAAAACAAATTCTAACATTAACATTTCAGACTTTCTGGATTTATTACCATGCTACAACGATCCAGAATTCCGATCAGCATTCGTGAGATGTGTCCAGAATTCCTTTGTAGGGTATGACCAAAATACGTGTGTGTAAGTTGTACTTTTTTAAATCCATGTTATCTATAAACCTATAAAAAATAATATTGGTACTTGTAGCTCAGCACTTCTTGATATCTTTTTATTGCAACAAAACATTTTTTTTTTATAATAGGTGGAACCTTTTAGCACTTATTTGGGACAGAACGGTTTCCCCTTACTTTTATCAATTTTCGGCTTTAAATTTTCCATTCCCCAAAGCGTGCACTTTAGTTAATAAAGTATAACAAAAATACCGAACTTCAAGGTAAATCCAAAAGGGGAAACACATAAAAACTTACCAAATCAAACGTTATCAATCAACGGAACAAATGAAAAATTTGCATTTTCAAAAAAATAAAATGGTTGGTTAAACCTGGTTTTATGGTAAGCTAGACCTTCCACTTGCGTAACAGTTGTTTATAGTTTATTTATATTGAAAAGATTGGGTGAGGAACCAAAACAGATATAATAGGTTAGTGTGACAACCGTTGATTACATTTTGCTCGTTTTATTTCCCATCATATCCATTTGGAAATATTGCAATTGGCATTTTTTTTTCTTTAAGTAATAGAGAAACTCATCCTACCACTTGACCCCGTTAAAAGCAATATTTGTTGTCGATAGCTAAATTTTCAAATTTAAAATGCTCGTTAAAGCTTCGATTGTCAATTTTCAAACTTAACACTCGAAATATTGATATAGGTCGTTTTTAATGTAGCTTGCAAGGCCATGTATGTTGCCTATTGTAAGGTATCATATCTAACAAAGACATTAGTTCTTAAATACTGGTGGAACAGCAATGAACATATTTTTCTTTTCATCATAAGTCTTTTCTTTAAAAATTGAGTTTGATTTTTTATTAGATCAACAAAATCAAAACAAGTATTACGATAATCAAAACTGCAAATGGAGCTTTAAACGAAACACATTCACAAGCTTTATTTCATTTGTCATGTTTAAGTGATTTCCGTCTGATTATAAACCAATTTAAAAGCAAGTCATTGAACTTGTTTGTTTCAATTACAGGTTTGTGGACCGTCTGAAAAACTGTGCTTCGATGTTTCATCATTGTAACAAAGAGCAGCAAGCATCTGCTGTAGACACTATGGTCGAAGAATATAGTAAAACAATATGCAATCATCACAAATTTAATATTGGAGCTCCTATGTGAGATTTGTAAACTTTAAATAAATAAAACTTGTTTGATCTATCATAGATATATTTATTTTTATTTTTTTTCCACCGTTTTACTCTGAAGGATAGCATTGGTTCGTTATGTTACCTGTTTTATGAGCAATACAAAAAGTAAAATAACAAAAATATCGAACTTCGAGGAGAGTTCAAAACTGAAAGTTCCTAATCAAATGGCAAAATCAAAGGCTCAAACACATCAAACAAATGGATAACAACTGTCATATTCCTGACTTGGTACAGGCATTTTCTTATGTAGAAAACAGTGGATTAAAACTTGATTATAGCTAGTTAAACCTCTCACTTGTATGACAGTCGCATATAATTCCATTATATTGACAACAATGTGTGAACAAAACAAACAGACATAACAGACAAATGTCACAAATAGGGGTACAGTAGTCAACAATGTGTTATAATCTTAATCACTATAGAAACAAGCAAAGATGTCAACAAAGAAAAACACAAAGGCATATAGACAAAGTACATAAGCAAAAAAGAAAGACAAAAATACGAACAATTACCATAGCACAATAACACAATGACGGGATGTATAAGTACCGAGCCTCGCCAAATGGATATTACCAAAAATAGACTAAACGTTAACAGTAAACTTAAGGTAATATTTAACAAAGACAAATAAAAGAACACTATAACACGTAATTAAGATGATAAACAACGTCAGTACTTAGAATCTATACTTCATTATCATCGTGTATTATTTGTGAAGTTGATACGGAATATTTATCAACAAGGTCTTGGTATCTTCCGATGAACTTTTTTAGAAAAAAGACAAGACGTTCTTTGACATAACCCTGGTTCATCAACTTTTTGCTCAGACACTGGTGCGTTTTATAAAGTCTGAGTAGCAGCTGTAAGCTCTTGAATACCGAATGAGTTGGGAAATGTATATCCCATATGCAGGTGAAGTTGGTATATTGCTACTAAGGTGGAGAAAATTTATAATTTCAAAATTAAAATCGTCATAGATTCTGGTACTGAGTTGTCAAATTTGAGGTATAAGTCTAAAAATGAGGCAGCGGAAGTTGTGTCTGTTGTTTCTTTAATTTCTAGTTCTGGAGGATATATTAATGGAACCCAATCAGAAAAGTTTGGATTGTTAATGGAAAGAACATCATCAATATATCTAAATGTGAAATTAATTAAATGTAGGAATGCCGACAATTTGTTGAAAAAATCTACCTCCAAATTCAAAAAATATGTTGTCAATAAGAAACTCTAGCATCACTTGTTCCTCTGTGTAGCATGTTTTATCGTTTTGTTCACTTTTAACAAGATATGCCGTATGGTATCCCAAAGTAATAAATTTATAGCGTATGCGACCATTGTTATGTTGAAAAGCATTGTGGGTTACTTCTTTTAGACAATTTTTCAATTTCACATCCCCTGATGGTACAAAGGGTTGAAAAATCAACAGTTTTGATAGAACTTATTTCAGAGAAAGATTATCCAGAGATTCTTTAGAGTCTATAGATAATTAAAAAAATCTATACTTCTATCAGAAGATATGCAATCCATTGAATAGTCTTAAATGTTACTCCAGCTCTTTCCTTGTATGACAGTAAAGGAAAATACAAGGTTTGAATGTTCATCAACGAGGTAAATGTTAATATTGTGTAAATAAAGATAAATACAAGGGGCGATGTTATCATACTTTTAGTTTTCCTCGCATACAATATATATATGTATGTATGAGCCCTGGTCGGATTAGCATGGATGAAACATATGTGAAAGAAAAAACTCGTTGATTATACATGTAAGTTGTAAGAGGTGAACTATTGAAATAAACTCCTTTTCTAAGTTTTCCTCTCATTCTGCTTTTAATGGACACAGACAGGTTCAATTAGTTTTCTTTCCAACTGAATACTAAGTAATCAATTCAATCATGAATAGACCCCTGTTTAAGCTGTGGTTACACATATTCCTGGAAATTAGTGAATAGACGTGGCATGAAGTATTAAAGGCTAGCTTTTCGTTTTTTCTTTAGAAACCACTGCATGACGTCTAATTAGTACGAATAAAGGTAAACATGGTATACGTCGCAAGGATAGTACAATTATTGGAACATGCTAACAAATTTATAGTCCTGGAGTGTTCTTACTTTGGAACATAGCTTTACGTTCCTGTGGCGCTTACTTTTGAACTAATCTAGGAGCGTCGTCGATAGATTTAAAAAGGCTTGAAAAAATAAATAATACACCGTATTGCTCACCCTACATTTTATTTTTTACTGTTGTTAATAGACTTAAAACACTGAAAATATTTTTTTAAAACAGTTACCTTTTTTACATCTTTCAACACCAAGGCTTACAGGTATAGTTATGTAAAGGGGGAGATATGTGATCAAGTTAAAACTTTTGGGTTGTTTGTTTACCAATCAGCTTCTTACAAACTTCCATTAAAGTAAATAAACTCATCATAGATACCAGAATTGAAATTTTGTATTTGCGCCAGACGCGCGTTTCGTCTACAAAACTCATCAGTGACGCTCGAATCAAAAGAAGTTAAAAGGGCCAAATAAAAGACTTCGACACCAATACCGACCTCGAAATTTGCAAAAATATTTCGATCAAATAATACTGTGCATGCGCTTATTATAACAATGGCTGACAATGCAAATTAGGACCGAATTCATATCATCTAATGGAATGCCTGGGCGTTTATCGTAAATTTGTTGATAGCCGTTTGATAGATCAAATTTCCTACAGGTCAATCTTTGATTAAATACAACCTCATTTTAAAACATTTTAACTTGAAATTTTGTGTTGGTTCATGTGATATCGTTTTGAGTGAAATTCAAATAAAGTAATCGAATGTCAGTTCTTTGTGTATGTTCCAATTGTCGTAACCACACTCCTGTCTTCTTTTCTCAAAAGTGACATACAGAATAAGACTAATGACCAGGTCTGCACTTATGTGTGCCAGATGTAGAGCAGGATCTGCTTACCATTCCGGAGCACATGAGGTCCCTCCAGTTTTTGGTGGGGTTCATGTTGCTCAGTATTAAGTTTTCTGTGTTGTGTTTTTCAGAATGTTGTTTGGCTTTTGAAACGTATTTATTTTTTGCCATGACTTTGTCGATTTGATTTTGACCTATTTGTTTGATTGTTTGTTGGTGTCCTTCACCTCTCTTTTGTTGCCTTTTAAAGATTTTTCTGAATATATAAACATTCTTTTTTTTTCATATTTCCATATTCTATCTAAAACATGTAAGTTAAATATAAGGATATTTCATAATCTTTCCTATGATCTTTCTGTGTAATAATGTCCATCTCATGTCCCTTGACTGAGATCTGTTCATTATAAGCAATGCTACTTTCATTGACATTGCATTGAGTGATTGCGTTAAACAGACTATCTTAGGTCTTTCATGCATTAAAAGTTTTCGGCTACATCTCATCTCAGAGTTATCGCACTTCATTGATATTATAGTAGAAAAATTCTGTCTTATTTGCAGAACCATATGTAATCTTTATTAATTCAACTGTAAATATTCAACGACGTCTTGTTCAAGTTGATATTTCAGTTTTTCACCAAGAAAAATATGATTGTTTCTCTTTCTGTATCTTTCTTTTGTATTCCAAAGAAGGGTTGACTTCATATGAGTTAGTTATCGTTGCAAATGAGTTCGTCTATTACAATTTTAAAAAAAAGTGTGTTTGAAATTAAGCATCGACTGAAGAAAAAAATAATGTTTGTTTTCTATTTTCAATTTCTTCAAATTATATTTATTCACAAAGAACCTGCAATCCAGGAACTCTATTCTGCGGCAGACAGACTTAAAAAACTTATTTAAGTTTACTGAAAAACTTTAAGCGAAAAAAGAGACAGAGATCTAGCGAAACCCCATAGAATGTAAAGATGTCCGTTTGGTCTCAGGTTAAAACTTTCTGAACAATGAACCGAAATGTAATAGAAAGAATGAATAGACCATCGCAGGAAATGGTCAGGATTTTATTAATGATTCTAAACAACATATGAAACTTGGATTTGTTATCATGTACTTTTTAAAATTTGTAGAACTTAAACAGACTTTGTATGCCTACATTTTGTCTAAAAACATCCATTAAATACTTTCAAATCAATTTACTTACCATATGAACATTAGCTTAAATTAGCAAGTTTTGTTTTCCAATACATTTTCTCAACAAAGGTAAACAAAAACGTTACCCACATATGTTTTGTAAAAACATTAATTTTACATATTTTACATATATTTTATATATATATTGATAGATTGATTGGTGTTTAACGCCACTTTCAACACTATTGTGTTATTTCGTTGTGGTCAGTTTTTATTGGTTGAGGAAGGCGGAGTGCCCGGAGAGAACCACTGACCTTCGGTAGGAAAACTGACAATCCTAGTCAATTGAGAGTGGAGTCGAGCGAACTTTCCACGTGCCGGATTCAAACTATCAACCTCAGTGTTGACAGGCTAGTGATACAGTATATCGACTACTTAGACCACACAGCCACCAAGTCCCCCTCTATTCTATATAAATATAACTGTTGGAATTCTAATAAATTAATATATTCATTTAATGTCATTTTAATAAGCAGGATGACATTTCGGTAAGTGTATATGTTATTGATTAAAAATATTGCTTCGTAAGCAAGTTGTGTTTATCTGTACATTTTAAAATTACCTTGCGCTTGATGACGAGATAAAACTGTGTTTAAGATTTTATGTGGGAGTTCAGTTCATATTTATCTAGAATGTAATATTATATTAAACAGTTTGCAGTATATTAGCTACATGACATGAACTGTATTTCTAATACCCGGAGGCTTTATTGCTTTTTAGTCAGAATTTCTTCCTCGGTTATCGACTATTGACGAATTTAGAGTATTTTCAATATTCTCTGGAAGATTTTTTTAAACAATATCAAGATCTTTATCTCTATCAACAGCCTCAACTTGTCATTAGAACTACACTGGATTTTTTTAATTTTGTTTGATATTTTCCATAATCCTTAAAGGGGCATTTGCTGTCAAATTCATCGTTTCGTGTGTATTTTAGTCTAGACGCCATCTACTATGATTAACTATCGATTTGACCTCCAAAGACTGCCGACGGTCATATAAGCGATATAAACATAAATATAGATATAGATAGATAGCGAACGCGTGCAATTGGATTTTACTAGGTCTGTTTAATTTCATATTATAGGTAAAAAAAATATATGTTAATCATCGTTTTTACTTAATAAGAATGAGTATTTGTGGATCGAATCAGTCAATCAAATGATTTACCTTTAATTGTTTCACTTTCAATGTTGACATTCTTTTCCTTGTAATAATTGAACACTCATAATTAGTGCGTAATCCGTCTCTAGCAAGTGAATAATTCATCATCGATGTTTCTTAGCTTATTTTGACAAAATTGAACCATACTGGCTGCTAAAAGCGAATTATTATTTCACTATTTCTCTTTCATTAATGATTGAACAAAAAACAATCTTATTTTAAATTTTTTATATACGTATCTCGTAACTAGTGCCCCTTTAAAGATCAGTCTAATATTTTTATGGGATTATTTCATGTATTAGCAGTATGTATCTGAACATCTTGTACATACTTGTTCATCTATCGTTAATACTCTGTACTTGCCTTCTTCATTGAGGTATTTTAAGCTGAATTTTAAAATACTTATATTTTCTTTCGTTTGTCTCTGTGAAAAATCTTTCTTTCAGATTCACATTTTGTATTATATCAAGGGTTGTTTCAAATTTCTTACATTTTGTATCATATGTATAAATTTTACATGTCATACCAAATACATTATCAGATGATTTTTAAAACACATCACAAAATTATTCACAACTGTATCAATATCAGATTGCCATAAATTTAGTTTCAAAAGCACCTCGTCCAACGTAGTTTCTATATTTCTAATAGTATGTGCTCCCATTACTATTACGCGTTCTATAAACTTTGTTTTCCCGTTACTTGTCCGTCTCATGTTTAGTTTTTTTGTAACCATGTCATTTTTCATTATCAATTGCATGAGCTATGATTGAAAAACTAACTGTAAATTAAAACATCTGAAAACAATGGGATTAAAATCCTTTCCTTTCCTTTCTCATCTTGCCTTGCTTTTTTCATGACGGGATACAATTTCTTCCGTCGTGTCTCGACTTCGTCTGGCAACTCTCCTTAATACCGAATTGTTTCCTTTTTAACTGGTATGAACTATTAAGAATTGCTTGGAGATCTTTACGATAGATAGATCGTGCTACAATCAGTATCACGTTATTTAGACCTAGTTTTCCAAATCTGTGACTATTTCCGAACTCTGTATTTTGTGATCAATCTGAGGTTGATAATAAAAAAACATAATAATTTCTTTGCTGCACTTGTTCTTTTCTATGATATTCAAGGCCGAAAATATCAGGTTATTTCTCATTGACCTACACTAAAGATCACCAACATACTCTTCCAGGCGTTTTATGTGTTCCGAGTTGTCTGTTATATGCGATTTATTTATATCAGACTTAATTTTCCATATTTTGTCTTTCATTTCTTCAATTTCCTCCCCGTTTCATGCACAACGATTTATGGCACAATCTAAAACAGTACTCAAACCTTCCACATTGTTCTCCATTTGTATATTCTTATTTCATTTAAGAATCTTTTTATATCAGTAAACGTTTTTTAAAGACTATCTATATTTTCCAATTTTTGTTCAATTGTAGCCATTATTTCCTCTTTAAAGCAATTATTTTCAAGATATCTGTTAGAACATTTTAATCTGTTAATAAATTTGTCGCATTGATTGTATTCTGGTTGATTTTACTATACATGGTGTTCAAAAAGGTGACTATATCTTAAAAATATCTTAAAAATACCTATTATGTCTGTTTGTTTTGTTCACACATTGTTGTCAATATAATGGAATTTCGTGTGACTGTCATACAAGTGAGAGGTTTAGCTAGCTTTAAAACCAGGTTTAATCCACCATTTTCTACATAAGAATATGCCTGTACAAAGTCAGGAATATGACAGTTGTTATTCATTCGCTTGATGTGTTTGAGCCTTTGATTTTGCCATTTGCTTAGGGACTTTCCGTTTAGAATTTTTCTCGGTGTTCGATATTTCTGTTATTTTACTTGTTGCTGATTATTTAACTTGCGATTCTTATCATAACTAAAATACCATTAACGGTCATAGATATTAGAATTCCAATTTGACCTAGGGGTTTCTGGATCGTACTGGATTCCAATTTGAATTATTACATATACATGTAAATAAAATTGAGAATGGAAATATATATGTTTTATTCATGTATTTAGTTATGATGTTTCTTTTGTAAGTCCAGTTCGATATTGAGTTATGTCTTGTCGTTTATGGTTTGAATTCTGTTTTTTTCGGTACATTTCACATATGTTTTATATGTCAGTACAGTCGATTTACTCGTGGTTCGTCTGCAGTGTTTTTTTTTTAATGTTGTTTGTTTTGAAGTGTGTTTACTGGTTGGTCTTACATGATCTTGCTTTATATTACAATTATTTTATTTTTATTTTCTATATGTATGTAAAAGTTAAGATAAAAAATCAGCCATTTCATTTATATGATTTTAAGTTTAAAGCAACTATATGCACAGGATTTTTTTGTTTATACAAATAACACAAATAACATCATTACAAACACCATTACAAACACCATTACAAACACCATTACAAACACAATCCAAATGTTATATTCTTGTACGTTTCTATAGATAAAACAAATCTATTTTATTTAGAGAAATTTACCAGTGATAATATAAACGTCAAAATAATACGTCACTCTTTTGTGGCGTTGATACATTCGTGTGACGCGCAGTTTATACTTCATTTGTGGTGTCCTGGTGTACTGCCGTAAATTCATGGGAGGTGTCCGTTGTTATTCTGCAGTGTACATATAATGTACTATTATATTATTTAATAATGTATTTCTTTGTCCTGAGTGTTCTTGCGTTTATTTGTACTGTATTCTTGTCACGTAATGTAGTCATTGTTGTTGACAATTTAGGCAACAATAGTTTACCGATGTTAAAATATAATCAATTGATTTATGAGTATACAAAGAAATGTGGGGTATACATCAATGAGATACCAACATACGACAAAAATAATCAAAAGTCATATGACGGGCATGAATAGTCTGCAACAATAGACGAGGGTCTTTAAAATATATACACATTTAAACCGTACATAGTTTACTCTGACAATTCATTTAACAGAAAAAAAAATCACATATTTGCCATTAATACTTACTTCTACAAAATAACGAAAATCATTAATATTATGACATGAAATACGACAATAGCAGCTGACGAGGTTCCTGACTTTGGATATGCACAACAATTCTCCAATGGTATTTAATCTATACAATCTCTTTTAGATTCATGTTTAACCCCGTATCTAGCTGACTGACCATAAATGTGTCACATAATCAAAGTTTGGTTCTATCCAGAATGTTCTTATTTATTTTTTTTTTAATATCTTTTTTTTTACGCATTGTTGAAGGCCGTACGGTGACCTATCGTTTTTCCTTTCTGTGTCAATTGGTCGTGTCATTGGTAATCATACCACATCTTCTTATATTTTTATGAATACGTATTTTACTTTTAACCCAAACGGCACTTACTTTTGTTGATTTATTTTTTAATACATTTTTGCATACCATAAGAGACGAATGAAAAAAATGGATAAAATGGAATTCGCTCTTTTGCATACGATTTCGATGTAATCATAAAGATTCATACGCATGTTCTACTTCTTGCTAAATCTGCGTTTAAGGATTTTACGAAAGATTTCTGTAATATCAATTAATGTGTAAGGTACAAAACTTCATAAGGTTAGCAGCAGAGGTAGAGCCAGACATGTAGTTTGGACAAAATAAATAGCACAGACAAGTATGTAAGTATGACCTTCAAGACTACATATCAAACTCTTGCTAACTTCCAAATTCGTAACTAACCACATTAATTCATAAATGTCAAGCATACCAGGCATAAATAGTATATTTAGCTATGAACTTTTCAAGCCCTGGAAGAACCAATTGAGAAAACTATTTTTACACTCTTTTAGGAAAATCTTGACAAAACAAAATAACATTATATCAAATTTAAAGCATTGTTATCAGTAAACTCAAGCAAGATAAGTTTTATTGGAAAACCTTGGCATTTAAACAAATTTGACAAAAGTAGATAAAAAACGTGCAGGCATTTATAAAAATAACAGCTTGTTTACCATACAATATTAAACAAATGAACACATTTAATTGTTAAATATCTCCATAAATATTGAACTTATTATGTAATTAACACATCATAATTCGTCAATTATCTCTATGAATATTGTACTTATTTTGCGCTCACATATAAATATAAATGACATTTCTATATTCAGCACAACACATTTAGATCAAACTCGTTTCAACAAGTACTACACTGACTATGTTGGCTTTGGTACTCTTTAACGTCGGCTTTGCCTTGGGTAAGTTTAATCTTTTATTTTAAGTACTTGTCTAATATTTAGCACGGTGAGATCTCATTTCTCCAACATTTGATGGGCGTATGACATTTGCGCCGATTTAAAAAAAAATTGATCTTCGTGCATATGTACAACTAGCTAACGGAAGAGGTTTGTAATGATAAATTAACAATAACATTCACCTGCACAATCGGCGCATACGAAAGACAAAATCGGCGCAAGTGAAAGACAAAATCGGCGCAAGTGAAATGCAGATCGGCGCAAATGCAAAACGCCGCATTTGATAGTTAGACTAAAACAACATTATATATAGGGATTAGGGGGTCCTCTTAAGGACTGGCATCTTGATATTTACCTTTAATTCACCTGTTCTTTACTAAAATATTGTAAAAAAAGGGTTGTTTTTTTTTAAAGATATACATTAAAAAACATTAACAAAATTATTTTTTTTTACAATAATTGGTTACTCATATATTATTTTTTTCAAAGTCGATATAATCTAGCACAGTCATGTTAATTATTATTTTACTTTGTTTTCATATTTTTCTCCTCTGTTTTCCATAATAATGTATTATTGATAACAATGTTGCGATCTTGAATAAAAATAAACATTTTATATTCTGAGAACTATTAACAGTTTATAATAGCTTGAGTCATTAAGCTTATATAAAAGAACCAAAGCTTCATGTTATTTTCAATAAAAAATCATTTAAAAAAAAATCATTTTGAGATTATTTCTTGATCATGTTGATCACTTTTATGAAATTTTCAGATTGATTTGATTTGAATTTCGTTTTTTATTCATGGATTTTTTTGTTGAATAACTTTTTTATTTTGTAATTCAATTATTGTAAAAATAACGTGTGTGTAAGTTTAATATATATCTTTAAACAATATGGCCTTTTTAAATATTTTAGAGCTGATATAGGTGAATAACGGGTATATATCAAGATGCCAGTCCTAGTGAGGACCCCTTATCCTTAATGTTTTGTTTTTTTTGTCTAATTATCAAATGTTGAAGAAACGTGACTAAACTTTAATCACAAACAATATTGCATATTCCGCATCGATAAAGAATAGTTTCTATGGCAACAATAAACATCTAGTCATATCACCACGTATTTTTGTTAGTTTTTACTAAATATATATACATGTATGATAAAGATAATACTTAACTCAAGTTATGTACCTTTCATCACTCAAGGCTTGTATTATAATTAAAATGACTGGAACACAGGTCGCGTAGAACGCTCGACTAAACGGAGTAAATTAATTGGCAAATAACAACCGGAATTTCATGAAAAATAACGGTGGTAACAAGCTTAATTTGAGTCATCTTCAAATAAATTATGATTTTTTTTCTAGCACACCAATTGCGGATTGTAATTTCGTATTTAAGATGCGTTATATTCAAAATATGATGAATGAAGACGAGTTTCCAACTTCAGAACAAAATTTAAATAAAGACGTAACAAAATCAGCCAAGTAGTCCGCATTTTTCTGCTGACATAAAATATCATTTATATGCTCTTTTTCTCTAAATTTACTGTTTATAAAATGTTCAATTTCTCGTAATACAAGGGTTTTCTACCACAAGTTATAGGTCATATTTGGCACAACTTTTGTATTTTTGAGGTTGTAATGCCCTTCAACATCGTTTTTGATAAGGCTTTACAACTATTTTGATTCGAGATTTACTGATGAGTCTGCTGTTGATTATACGAGTCTCGTGTAACAAATTATAAGCCTGGTATTCTTGATGAGTTTTTACATTGTAGGCATTTCAGATAATTTATAAACATCGTCATTAAAATCCTACATTAACAAGTTAGAGTTTACCATCATGATTGATTGGTGTTTAACGCCACTTTCAGCACTATATTGTGCTATTTCGTGGCAGTCAGTTTATATTGGGAGGAAGCCGGAGTGCCCTGAGAGAACCACGGACCTTCTGTAGGAAAACTGACAATCGTAGTCAATTAAGATAGGAGACGAGCACGAGCGCACCTACCACGTGCGGAATTCGACCTCATAACCTCAGTGTTGAAAGGCTAGTGAATTTTCTAACAACACATTGTTATAGTTGCAGGTACCTTAAGGGTTGTTCCGGAAGAATGCTATCCAGTGTTTAGTTGTTCTCGCAGATTTCTAGATGTTGGAAGCTTCTTTTATGATGGCGATACTTTAAAAGATGTCAGCGAAGAAACAGTTGACAAGCTATGTCAGTATGTGAATGTTTCTGTAATTAAATAGTATAAATACATATATATATATACCTAGGTCTTGTCACAAATTGTAAACCATCGGTATATAACGAAACTAATGAAACTTTGGTAAAATAGACTAAAATGTTAATCTGCGTATTTAAACTTAAAATAATGTTTTACAAGCATTCAATTGAATGTTAAAAAGAACAATTAAAACATGTTTTGTGTCAATACTAGATCTTTTTTCTGTGAATTAGATTTAGGAGAATGTTGAAATAATTGTAAATCTTACCTTAACACCGGATGAAAAAGTTAATAAATTAAAGGATATGTGCGGTATACGTAAATGAGTAAGCGCCCAAACAACAATAAAAAATTGACCTCTAGGTTTACATAGTATTACAGTTTTCAACCACAGACAGATATGGAAGTAGAAGATTACAACTACTGTGAAACAACTAATTTTCGAGAGCGATTTTTGTTCGTTACATTCGTGAGTAGGACAATAAAGCGAATGTTTAAAACTTGGATCTTCAATGGAATAAGAAAATCGCGAAAAATAAATATCCGTGAAGTCGGATATAAAGGGCTAAACCCGAAATGAAGTATCCGCAAAAAAAAAAATGATTTACAGAATCATTGCGCTCTCATATTCTATAGATTTATACGTTAATATTGTATATTGCATTGCAGACATTTGAAGACAAAAACCATTTGTAAGGAGGCGGATAAGTGTAAAGATATGCATTTTGTTATTGACATGATGGCTGAAATAGAAACAGCTGTTTGTGTTCAGTATAAAAGATGTAAGTATATCATTTGCATTAGATAATCGTATAAAATTGAAATAGTCTATGTTACAGTTAAAATTTTACGATTATAAAAATTAGGTGGCGAAATGGGGAAAAAGAATCCTGACTGCTTTAGCCGTGTATAATCATATGACATTGAAATGTGAAGGTCATGAAACTTATATTTTCTACCAAATATTATAAAGCATCTAGCAATGAGTTTATTCTATACAAACAATGATTTGAACATTTCAGACATTCAAGTTTTAACACCATGCTACAATGACCCAGAGTTCAGAACAAAATTCGTGAAATGTGTCCAAGGTTCTTTTACAGGCTATAGTCCAAATACGTGTGGGTAAGTTTTACTAGTGTATTCTATCAACGATTTACGATAAAATTTGTATTTCAACAATTCCTTTCATAGAAATGTTTGCCATTTGTTGTCAATCTTTTTTTTAAATATTTGTAAATTAATGACATATTTTGTGGTAGATAATTTTTCTTCAGTTTTTAAAAACGCTTTAGGATCCGTAATTGTATTTTCCAATTTTCATAATAGCACTATTCTATTTTTGTTATAATGTTAGTTTGTTTAAGATTAACGTCCGCTACCGTGGATGTCCATGTGGAGTTTACCAATGATTAGTATGGTCATATGTCTAAACCAAAGAGAAATTCCTCATAATCTGAAACAGTACGATATTCTTTTGGGAGCTCGTGTCTCTTCTACTGAGATTTAATTTAATTCTAACCCATACGAAAATCAAGCGAAACAAAAATCAATAGTAGTCTGCAAATTTGATATTAAAAATTTTCTTTCATCATTGATGGCTGCATGACAAACCGATAAAACCTAAACAGAGACATATATTATATGATCTGATTAAATGTACTGGAAATTCTTCATTTTGAATTACAGGTTTGTGGACAGCCTAAAAAACTGTGCTTCCATGTTCCAGCAGTGTAAAGACGCACAATATGCATTTGCTGTTCAAAATATGCTCGACAAATATGGTACAACACTATGCAATCTTCACAAATTCAATATTGGAGCAATTTAATTTCAGCTCAATCTTATATGAATTTTGATCTACCATGAATAAAAATATCTTGTAACACCGAGAATCTTTTGTGTTCAAAGAATTAATTACTGTAAATTCGGAAATTATTGCGAAAAATGCGACAGGGTTGTAATCGCAACAATCGTACATACCAGTGCTTACTGCCTTAGTGTTAAGTTTTCACACGTCGTTTTGAATGAATAAAATTTTTACAGTAAAATATTACCCTAGAAAGAAAAAGGGCTGAGATAAATAATATAAATGGGGCTATATTTCAGAACTGGGATATTGAGGACACGCACGTGGGTCTCAATCTTGATTTGGGGTTCTATATATATGATAAAAGGAAGGTATACACAGACAAGCCGCTGGAATGGGTCTCCTTTTTATAATTAAATTATATTAATGCCATACACTGAATTTCACTGAGGTCAAATATCAATGGGTCAGTAATTTTTATCCTCTGAATTATAATAGATGTTTGTTTAAATGCTGTTTTATCGTTTTTTATTCAAATTAAGATATCAGATCTTGTACTTGGATGGAGAGTTGTCTCATTGGCACTCATACCACATCTTCTTATTTTTATTGTATAATATGTTTTTACTGAGAAAACTATTAATGGGTCATGATTTTGCCATCGGAAACATATTAAGTGTCGTGATTTTTTCTCAAGGTTTTAATTTATAAAATTTGGGTGTTTTCCCAGCTGCACTACAATACTCAAAATCCCATGTATAGATCGACCCCCAGTCCCCGTGATTGAGAAATAACCTTCATTAAATGAGAGTAGCTTGAAAGATTTGAAGCAAACTATTTCAATCCTAATATTATTGAAAATTTATAGTTTTGGGCTAAACGTTGGGGAAGTTTTTTTTATCATTTGCGGATTTACCTGGGATATAAATAGATATGATCGTGCCACTTATAATCCCCCTTCTCTTTGCCCTTCCACCCAAGAATTTACCTTCACGTACTGTTGCACCCAAATTAAACACAGAATGAAAATAAATAATTGAATTTGACCTTATAAAAAAATCTACGGTTTCACCCCCAAAATATTGAGAATTAAAGTATAGGACATGCATATTAAATTGCTCATTGCTAGAAAACAATGAAATATCCGTACCAATATTAAAGTCGTAATACAAAAAGACAGGAAATACCTTAAGAATTCTCATAAAACTTATCTGGTGCATCTATCTCCGTTACAAAGTTATATTCGTATTTAGCAGTCTGAGCCAAAAACAAAAGAACAACCACTTATACAGTTACTATCTTACTGAACTCCGAGGTTGTATCAACTATGGAATATGTATAGATGACCTGCACGTTATTGCCTTATTAAGTTGAAAAATATCACTGAAAAGTATGTAAGTGTGGTCGACACGTTGCTAAATGGTGTATATTATATACATCACAGAAATGCAACATAAAATTTCATTAAAATGTAACCATTCTTTTAAGAGCAAAGAAAAGTATGCAGTTAAATGGTTACAAAATGTTGATTATGGCTACTCACATGTTCCTAAACCGCATTTTTTCACCAACTGACTATACAATAGCTATATTCAGTAAGAATTCTAAGTGTACGCACACTCGGAGGAGGAAAGGAGATTTAAACCCAAGATAAATTCCCTTTCAATGGGCTTTATTTTTCTGAGTTTTAGCAATTTCTGCTTATTTTCGCGTGCATAGCGGAGAAGTTGATCTCACTAAGGATAGCATCCATGGCGTACAGTCAAATCCTTAATTGATTGAAATTGTAAAACCCGACCCGAAATACTCCGATTGAGTTCACTAAAAAGATCAGAAATTATCCAGCATTTGCATATTCAAGAGACCCTTAAGTATCAAGAAAATAAACAGATCATACCCTAAATTATCCAAATTTAACTTGACATAAATCCAATACAATTTTACTTAGACAAAAATGTGACAAAAAGGAATTTGCATAGAATTACAAAACACGTACCCGAAACCTGACATTCTGACAAAAAGGCTACCCGAAATCTGCTTTCAAGACCATTGCAGATCAAAAAGACCAATGCAAACCCGAAATTTCTTGAAACTCACAAAAATGCCTAGAATTTTCCTCACATGAACAAACTTATCCCCCAACCCTCCCAATTCACCTGAGAAGACAGCCATCACTCGTAACCAACCTAGCTTTACACATCCATACCTAGACCTGACAGCGAAATAAAGTGTAAACAATGATCTGTTATTAATGCTTTCGTTCGATATGGGTGACTCGCGGTTTAACATCAGCCAGAGAGCCAATATTTCATGTTCACGACAACAAAAAAACCAGTATTACGATGTGTAAATAAATGTTCTTTACATGTAAATATAAGCCGAGTGTAAACCTGCTCACACAAAAACAGTCCAAAGAAAAACATTCAAACCACTCAATCATATCCCGATAATCCCACTTTTCGGACCCATATATATCAATTCACACTGTCTTTCTATATAAATTGGTACATATAACGACATATTGGTACATATAAAGACATATTGGTACATATAAAGACATATGGCTACATATAAAGACATATTGGTACATATAAAGACGTATTGGTACATATAAAGACATATTGGTACATATAAAGACATATTGGTACATATAAAGACATATTGGTACATATAAAGACATATTGGTACATATAAAGACATATTGGTACATATAAAGACATAGTGGTACATATAATGACATATTGGTACATATAAAGACATATTGGTACATATAAAGACATAGTGGTTCATATAAAGACATATTGGTACATATAAAGACATAGTGGTACGTATAACGACATATTGGTACATATAAAGACATATTGGTACATATAACGACATATTGGTACATATAAAGATTTATTGGTACATATAAAGACATATTGGTACATATAAAGACATATTGGTACATATAACGACATATTGGTACATATAAAGACATATTGGTACATATAAAGACATAGTGGTACATATAAAGACATATTGAAACATATAAAGACATATTGGTACATATAAAGACATATTGGTACATATAAAGACATATTGGTACATATAAAGACATATTGGTACATATAAAGATTTATTGGTACATATAAAGACATAGTGGTACATATAAAGACATATTGGTACATATAAAGACATAGTGGTACATATAAAGACATAGTGGTACATATAAAGACATATTGGTACATATAAAGATTTATTGGTACATATAAAGACATAGTGGTACATATAAAGACATATTGGTACATATAAAGACATAGTGGTACATATAAAGACATAGTGGTACATATAAAGACATATTGGTACATATAACGACAAATTGGTACATATAAAGACATAGTGGTACATATAAAGACATATTGGTACATATAAAGACATATTGGTACATATAAAGACATAGTGGTACATATAAAGATTTATTGGTACATATAAAGACATAGTGGTGCATATAAAGACATATTGGTACACATAAAGACATATTGGTACATATAAAGACATATTGGTACATATAAAGACATATTGGTACATATAAAGATTTATTGGTACATATAAAGACATATTGGTACATATAAAGACATATTGGTACATATAAAGACATATTGGTACATATAAAGACATATTGGTACATATAAAGATTTATTGGTACATATAAAGACATATTGGTACATATAAAGACATATTGGTATATATACAGACATATTGGTATATATACAGACATATTGGTACATATACAGACATATAAAGACGTATTGGTACATATAAAGACATATTGGTACATATAACGACATATTGGTACATATAAAGACATAGTGGTACATATAAAGACATATTGGTACATATAAAGACATATTGGTACATATAAAGACATATTGGTACATATAAAGACGTATTGGTACATATAAAGACATATTGGTACATTATAACGACATATGGTACATATAAAGACGTATTGGTACATATAAAGACATAGTGGTACATATAAAGACGTATTGGTACATATAAAGACATATTGGTACATATAAAGACATAGTGGTACATATAAAGACGTATTGGTACATATAAAGACATATTGGTACATATAAAGATTTATTGGTACATATAAAGACATATTGGTACATATAAAGACATATTGGTACATATAAAGACATATTGGTACACATAAAGACATAGTGGTACATATAAAGACATAGTGGTACATATAAAGACATATTGGTACATATACAGACATAGTGGTACATATAAAGACATAGTGGTACATATAAAGACATATTGGTACATATAAAGACATATTGGTACATATAAAGACATATTGGTACATATAACGACATATTGGTACATATAAAGACATATTGGTACATATAAAGATTTATTGGTACATATAAAGACATATTGGTACATATAAAGACATATTGGTACATATAAAGACATATTGGTACATATAAAGATTTATTGGTACATATAAAGACATAGTGGTACATATAAAGACATATTGGTACATATAAAGACATATTGGTACATATAAAGACATATTGCTACATATAAAGACATATTGGTACATATAAAGACATATTGGTACATATAACGACATATTGGTACATATAAAGACATATTGGTACATATAAAGACATAGTGGTACATATAAAGACATATTGGTACATATAAAGACATATTGGTACATATAAAGACATTGAGCGGGGACATTTAAGTTGAAATTGTAAAAAAAAATATTTATTTCGTTTCGTTTTGTTTTGTTCCGTTTCTATTTCGTTTCGCACTTTATGGGTACCCAAATAATAATCGCATTTTGGTCTAAATTGACAAAATCGCTATAATAAATGCACGCAATAATATCTAAATTTACAGTAGTCAACTGTTCTAGAAGATTTATCTTGGTTGGTTATGTTGACTCCTTTCTCATAATCGATCATAATCACTGTTGACAAGCGGATGATGGTAACTGAACATCCCAATATGGCGAAGGGGAATCCCCGTAAGATCTTTCCCTCTTAATTTCTGTTTTTAAATAAATGTGGCTAACATTAC